CAAAATCAAAAGGTGACTGTAAATGACATGCATCATTTTCTAATGAGGCCAAGACACTGATCATTCACAATTCAAGACTGCTTATTTGAATCTTACTTACTCAGCTGTCATCCTTGCAAAAGCTCAAAATTCCGCTTGGCTTCTCCATGGTCTAAGTTAACATAAGCAAGATGAAATCCCAGTGCAATTCCATCCATAAAAAAGAACATAAGGTCATTCCCTTACAAATGCAGAGTGATCACTCACCAGAGATGAACTGCATTGCACCAAGTCCATCTACATTACAGGAAAAGGTTTCAAGACAAAATCCACTGTTATAAACGCGCTGCCATCGGAAAATTGCAGGAATCGACAAGGCAAGAATACGAAAGCGAGAATCGAAAACACGACACACGATTTACGTGGTTCACTAACACGATGTGTGTTAGCTACGTCCACCGGCGAGAGAGAGCCAGTTTCACTATATCAAGGAGATTACATATTACAGAGGAGTATGAGAAGTATTTATAGTAATTCTCCATGTGGGTCTAAACCTAATCCAATATGGCAAAGGAAACGGTTATAGACCAGGCCCAGAACCCGAACCCAAATAACATTGAGCCCATACACCGTCGTAGCGGCTGATAATCCGATTCAAGTCATATCAACATCCACATTGCAGGAAAAGAGTTTTAACCCAGTCAAGAGATGAACTGCATTGCAGCAATTGTGTAATAACAAAACTCTCCTAGCAAAGACTATTATCATTACTCGCCATTATCAGCCCATGGAACATGCATCTAGAGCAATGAGGCATGTTGAATGATCCTAGTAGGAATGAAAGGCTTTAATATTGAGTATACCAAGCATGGCAAGAAATCCAAGCATCTAATCTTAGAAATATATCAACCAGTCTAGAACTGGCAGCAAGCAGAATAATGTAGAGAGGTGACATGGTTCACAGCAAGAAGGCAATAAAGATAATAATGGACCTGGACATCAATGCTTAGTAGTAGAAAAGTAGTTAAGAGAGTAGGAGGAAATGACAGGAAGTTCCGTCGAAAACTATACCTCACTGTTAGTGGGGTTCAGAAATGACAAATGGACTCTTAGCCTTCCCACAAATTCACCAACATCCCGTTTGGGTTTGAAAGTCAGATTTAAGAACTGCTAGCAGTGAAGCTCCGTATATGGCTTCTTAAGTAAAATACTCGACTCAACCGCCAATGCAAGCAAGTATATGTGTAATTTGAGTTATAGGAGTTCATAACTCACCAAAGAAAAAGGATTACAGTTGTGTACCTTACTGTCAATCACTTAATTGTATTCGAGTGGTGGAAGAAAGACTGGTGGACTGGTGGAGCAGTTGCGCTCGAGTGTTGCTGTTGTTGTTTTCAAGTGGTGGACTGGTGGTGTCTCTGATTAATCAGATTACAATTGATTACAATTTGAAGCTAAAAAACACAGTGCATATATGACATACAATCTGTCGAAAACATGAAACTGAGAACAAAATGAGTATCCATTCGTCCAGAAGCATCCAAAGATAGTCCATTCAGCAGCTGTTTGAATGCAGAAACAGGCACAAATAGATCCTTACAAATATCATAACTTATGAGTCTTTCAGCAAATGGCCATATATTTGACAAAATAATTGAATTCTTCCCACCAAGCTCGATAGATACAGGCTGTTCTATAGAGTTAATCGGTTTCTTTAATTTTCAAAACCTATACTTGCAAATAGCATTATTACAACACCATAAGCTAGATAAACTAAGAAGATGTCACTGGTCATCAAGAAAAGAAACATACATGCACCTTCCTATAAATAACAAATAACATCAAGCAATGGCGTCCAGAACAAACAGAGATTGCTTACACTTCATGAATTCGCCCTTTAGGAAGACGTTTAATTATTATAGGAAAGAACTCTTGTGCATTTCTCAGAAGATTATAGTTGTACCACCTCTCAGGGGAAGTCGCCTTTAGCATGATTTAGCATTTTTTTCTTCTTATTGTAAATGATGTTACCTGCTCCCCCTAGCAAAGGCGCCAACCATCAGAATCACTCCTTGGGATCCCAACCATTTGTTGTTATCTATTTGCACCCATTCCAATTTTTGTTTTCACCTCATTGCTATATCGCTAACTTAACTGCAACGAAAACTAAACCCGCATAAGGTCCCTCTCTCATCAAAAGAGTAATAATTCCACATCGACGATGGACAAAATCACATCTGGCGGAACCATTATCTATTCAGACCTCATAGAATTCAGGCAAACCCATGGTACCAAATGAACACAATTGCATTTCCACAATGTTAATACCATTGGATCATGGAAACAACTCACCGATGGACAAAGACAGTTAACGATTGTGGTTTCTTCAATCCTAGGGTGCCCTTTTCTTATCCTGCCCAGAACCTGTTCGACGATTTGCCCAGCTGAAAATGGTCCCCTTCAGATGCTGAAAAATGACAACTAAGCTCCGCTCCAGCGGGCTAATGAGTACCTGCAATACAGATAACCCATGAGATCGAGTGTATATGCTTTGCTCTGCTAACTAATTGGCTACAAACCCAAACTCTAGACCAGGAAACTTGAGAGCCAATGCCTTAACTCTAGCAGAAGGTTTTTACCAAGAAAACGCGGGTGCTCCTGGTTCTTTTGGTACGGTGATCGCAAACATCAAAGGCAGTCAAAGAAAACAGCAGGGCGGCGTGGAGACTGCGGCCAGCAGAATTGACGATCGAGAAAGCTAACGGGTGGTTTCAATTTTCAATTGCATAAATTAATAACTCACCAATTGAAATGATGACTCCGAGTGACTCTGATTAATAGAATTATCTCAAGGGAGTGTGCTACTGCTGTTATCTTCGAGTGGTGTCTACAAAATCACCGACATTCAGGGCAACCATCTCCAAATTAGAAAGACAGACAGAGGGTAACCTAATGAAGAGAACTTACAGAGGCAGGGCGATTGATTAATCTCGAACTGGGATGTGGAAAATTCGGCAGGCAGGGTGAGAGGCAGCAGACGCGAAAGACAAGAACAGAGAGACAGTCAAGAGAGGCAGTGGCGAGAAAGACAGAGAGGTCGACGTTAGGAGCTGTAATGGACTTCGAGGGAGGGGGGAAATTGACCGGCGAGGCGGTGGCGTCGCGGCGAGCAGCAGACGCGAAAGACAGGAACAGAAAGACACTCAAGAGAGGCAGTGGCGAGAAAGACAGAGAGGTCAACGTTAGGAGCTGTAATGGACTTCGAGGGAGGGGGAAAATTGACCGGCGAGGCGGTGACGTCGTGTGAGGTTGTTTGGGCAGGCGACGATAGGGGATTTCGCTGCGAGGTCAGGGAATTTTGGGAGCAGATCTAGTTCGGCGGCTGAAAGTTGTGGTTCGTTTGGGAGAGATGGCAAGAGGGAAGAGTCTCGGTCCGTCCGGCAGCCCAATCCGACCCGATGACGGAGCCAGCAGCGACGTTCAAGTTTGTATTGAGCTTTGAGGGAGGGCCCAGACATTTTCTACGCGGCCCATCTCAATGGAACAGAGCCAACGGAGCCATTTTACCAATTTGGCCTCCCGTGAGCGCAGGAAAACAGAAATTAAACGTGTTGCGGGCTGGAATCTCTATATTGTTTTGTTAGGATTAGGATTACGATAGGAGGATTATGATGTAGTGGTTACCAAAGTTTATTATTTCCCCTCTCTAATCTTCTCTTATAGTTGTTTGTATTTTCCATTAGTTTCATAACAAGTTTATTATTATTAAGTGATTGAGTCATATTAGGATAGTCTATTAGGTTTTTTCAGTCTTTCGTTATAAATAGGGTTATAGGTATAATATGCCCCTCTACTATGACGTTTTATCAAACATGCCCCTCTATTATTTTTTACATCAAACATACCCTTGTACTTCGAAAAAATTATCAAACATGCCCTTCTGTTAAAATTTTCATTGAAAAAATCGTTAATCATGGTTAAACCGAGATTTAGACGACCCGTCATCGGCAAATGAGAGCGAAATGTCAGTTTTGTCTCCCGTTTTATTTCTCTGGGTCTCTTCAAAGTGAAATTATTTGAATTATTTGGCTATACATAAGAACCAAAAAAAATTCTAAAGTGAAATCATTAGGGATATTTTAGACATTTGTGCCGCCCAAACCAAAGTTCGACCTTGGTTAACGCTTTTTGGATGAAAATTTAAACAAAAGGGCATGTTTGATCATTTTTACGAAGTACATGGGCATATTTGATATAAAAAATAGTAAAAGGGCATGTTTGATAAAACGTCATAGTAGAGGGGCATATTATACCTATAACCCTTATAAATATGTACTTTGCGTTTTATTCAGGGGTAGTCAAGAAGAATATTAAGAAAACTCTCCTAAACGCTAATCTCCCAATCCTCTCAATAGTCAATTCTAGATCTCAATCCCTCTAACTTAAAGTTGTACCATAACTTAAAATGTATAAGTTTGGGTTGTACTATAAAGGAATTTGTACCCTTATGTTTTGGTACAACTTCACAACTTTAAGTTGTACCATCACATTAAGGTACAAGTTCAAGTTGTACCATAAAAGAATTTGTAAAATAGTATAGGTACAAGCTGAAGTTATACCATAACGTTAAAGGTACAAAGTTGTACCTTAAAGGCAAAAACCTATAGCACCAATGCTATATAGCATTGTAAAATTTCTCCACTTGGGAGTTATATGTAACTCCTATTCTCATTATCTCTCATTCATATGCATTGATATAAGGATGTAGTAGTTACCAAAGTGTGCCTATAAATATAGCAACCATTGTATCAAAAGTGAAGAATGAATAAGAACTTTTCCCCTCTCTTCTCTTGTATCTTTCCCTCTCTAATCTTCTCTTGTAGTTGTTTATATTTTCCATTAGTTTCATAACAAGTTTATTATTATTAAGTGATTGAGTCATATTAGGATAGTCTATTAGGTTTTTTCAGTCTTTCGTTATAACTTATAAATATGTACTTTTCGTTTTATTCAGGGGTAGTCAAGAAGAATATTAAGAAAATTCTTCTAAACGCTAATCTCCCAATCCTCTCAATAGTCAATTCTAGATCTCAATCCTTCTAAAAGCCTAGGCCGATTCTCTATCTCTTCCTTCTCAAATCCCTAATTCTGTTCTGAATCCATAATTCCCAATCTCACGACCAGACCCGATAGAACCCTAATTATCGGTTTCTATCCGTCAGCTTCACAATGGCCTTGCAAAGCTCCACTCGAGAGGTTTCTATGTAAACAGTAATCATCTCAGCTTCGGTTCCTTTCCTTAATGCCCCATATTGACAGCAGTCCCGAGCCCGATCATCTCAACTGCGGCATTTGACACCTGTGAGGACGACGGGCTACTACCGGGCGGTCTATCCCCGCCGCCTGCGTAGGTCGGGCTAACTAGACCTTTGGAGTTTCAGTCCTCCTACTTCCTATCTCGGTCTCCACCCCATGTTTCTCCGACCAGTGCCGAATCGGCTTCGTTAGCCAGGTAGTTTAATTCTGGCTGCGCTCTCTTCTTCCCTGAAATCAATTTCGAGTTGGAACCCCCGATAGTCTGTCTCAGGCCTGTGTTTATATGTCAATTGAACTATCCACTCTGGTTAAATGGTCGTTTGAGTTTCGGTTTCTCTCAAGGGGAAAAGCAAAATTTTTTTGGATTGTCAATTGCCAATGAGTGTTAGGTGGCCTAGGGTTTTAAACCCCACTCAGCTCTCTCAGATCCTAAGGAATCAGAAAAACCCTTTGAGGGCGGTAGAACTCCTTGAGGAAGCGAGAATCAAGTTCCCAAACTATCGTCACAATGGGCCGGTTTATGCCACATTGATTGATGTCCTGGGGAAGTCTGGTAAATTCAAGGAGATGAAAGAGGTCATTGGAAAGATGAGAGATGATTCTTGTCACTGTAAAGATTCAGTCTTTGCCAATGCAATCAAGACTTATGCTGGAGCCGGGTTGGTTGATGAGGCTGTCTCTCTCTTCAAAGACATTCCCAACTTCAATTGTGTCAACTGGACTGAATCATTTAACACAGTTCTGCAGATACTGGTGAAAGAGTCTAAGCTCGAAGCAGCTCACCGTCTCTTCGTCGACTACTCCTGCGGTTGGGAAGTCAAGTCCCGTGTTGTTGCCTTGAACTTGTTAATGGAGGCTCTTTGTCAGCATAAACGTTCTGATCTTGCATCCCATGTCTTCCAGGAGATGAGCTATCAAGGTTGCTATCCAAACAGGGGGAGCTATCTAATTCTTATGCAGGGGCTTTGTAAAGATGGGAGGCTGACTGAGGCTACCCATTTGCTCTATTCGATGTTTTGGAGGATTTCTCAGAAAGGTAGCGGCGAGGATATTGTGGTATATAGAACGCTTTTGGATGCTTTGTGTGACAATGGGCAGGTTGATGAAGCACTTGAGATCCTTGGAAAGATCTTACGGAAGGGACTCAAGGCACCAAAAGTACGTCAGCCACAACTAGATCTAACCAATTGCCGTAGTGTTGAAAGTATAGATGCCACTAAGAAGTTGATTCATGAAGCTCTAATCAGAGGCTGTGTTCCAAGTTCAGCCAGTTATACTGTAATGGCCCATGATTTTTACAAAGAAGGTAGTGTTGCTCAAGCTGACAAGGTGCTCAATGAGATGCTCGACAGAGGATTTAAGCCAGCAATTCGAAGTTATGAAGCAAAGCTGACAGCTTTGTGCATTGAAGGAAGGATTGACGATGCTGTCCATGTTATTGAAGTGGAGATGGTCAGAGCAAACTGTGTGCGAACAGTAAGAGTGTATAATGTCCTGCTCAGGGGACTGTGTGAAACAGGAAACTCAGCTATGGCTGTCAGGTATCTGGAAAAGATGGATAAGCAAGTAGGTTGTGTTGCTGACAGTGAAAGTTACAGTATTTTGGTGAATGGGTTGTGTCGAGATGGTAGATTTGTTGAAGCAAGTAGAATTTTGGAACAGATGCTGAGGAGATCATATCGCCCTTCGGTCAATATGTACAATGTGCTTGTGCAAGGTCTTTGCACCATGGGTAGGCAATATGATGCTGTTACCTTGGTGGAAGAGATGATTGACCAGGGCGAGATACCAGACATGTCTTTATGGAACTCCTTGGTTGTTTCTGCTTGTTACAACTTGGCTGAAATGGATGTTTGCTCCCAAACACTTCAGCAGCTTAGCAGTATGCAGTAACCTGTAACCCTGCTGGAATGGAATGATAATCCTTGTTTGTTACCTCCTTTGGGATTTCTCTGTTCAAGTAAGTGGGAATATTTAGAAAGAGCCTCATCTGCGGATTTTAGTTTTGGTTCTGAGCACCACAAGTAGACATCCCTTTTGGTAGAAAAAAGAAAGCACAATGAGAAAGCTGATACTGTATGTTGTGTAGGTTTGTTCTCTAAAGGTTATGAATCGATATAAAAGCTAATAATACTCTGCTTTCTTCCCGAGGTTGATAGAGTGGAAAATTAGTGTCCAGCCAATTGCATGTGATACTAGCACAACTATGGTTTAAGTTTCTTTAATTGTTGAGAAACCAGAGACGTGTGGGAAAGAAATACCCCTCATCATGAACTTTACAAGGTCAACTTTGTGAAGAATTTGACTTAAACTCCAGAAAGTTCAATGAGAGAACTGGTCAATGAAATTTACCACACGGATTGCTGAGATTAGAAGGAGTTGGAATATGAAGCAAAAACAATAGAAAAGTAGATTGTGTTTTTTGACTTCATATAAACAACCGGTTCTTCTGCTCTGAAGATTCATGTACTTTCTGGGTTTATGGGAATTATTATCAAAGCCTTTGGATGGTGAAGAGGCTCTGGAACTTGAATTGGATCGATGGAAGAAACAAGGGGTGTGGTGCTTTGAAGCATGTGGTAGAAGAGCTCCAGCCAATTATATTGAAGGTCCTTCAATCTTTTGCTTTCATTCCACAGAAAAGTTGTTCCTGTATTTACACATTTGATCTGTTCATTCCCCTACATCTGATTTTTCTTTTACGGTCGAACAGGGTGGTGGTGCTCTTACATTGTCCAAAGTTTATCAATCGGTAAGGTGTAACCCTTTTCCTCTAATTTGCTTTGTGCTGGATAGATGGTCAATTAACGGGCAAGGTGGTTGCGGATGCTGCCAACTATCAAATAGAAAAGGAATTCATAGAGAAGGTCTGTTCTCAGCTTTACTTTTTACCTAGAAAGCATATTAACAGTTGCAATGTGCTGGTTAATTTTCGTCAGAGTTAAATCGAAATATTTTCAGTAATCATCTGGTTTCGGAAGTTTGCTTCCTACCAGGCTACCACTTAGATACCGGTCCATACTCTACCGTAATGCTGCAATTTTGATAAGAAATTAAAAGGTTCCCCTCATTTCTTGATTCACAGGTTGGACAATTAGCTGCAATGAATTTGAAGTCTAGAGCAGCCTTGATTCGCAAAGCAGGTGAATTTCATTATGTTTCAATTCCTTGGATTTCTGTGTCTATCTTTACCATGCAGTTTGTTGAATCAATGTGGTGTGAATTTTCTAAGATATATAGTTCTAGTCTTCTAGACAATGTGCCAAACTGTTAAGTGCTAGTCAAAGTTTGTGGAAGACTTCAATGTCTTCTGCATTCTGATCTGTAGTTGATTAGTTTTTGCATATAATGTTACTTGTCAAGTGAATTCAAGGGGAGCCCTTGCTTAGGGTCGTTTTTCTGGAGCCTAGGCTTGTGTCTGTTAAGGGATTTATATTTTATATCATGCAAATATCTGTGTGGTTGTAGTTGAACGTGGATTCCCTGGAGCTGGATTACATTGAAAATAGTTGAATGTGGAGATTTCTTTTCCACCTTGGACCTCAAGCTACAAATGACCATGGTAGAAACTAGGAATGGTGGTGATATGCTGCAAAATAAGCTGATTCCTGTCCTCAGTAGTGCATGCCACATTGCAGAACTAACTACTTCTGGTTATGCATCTGGGAGTGTATGCCTTCGCCACAAGTTAAAACCTTGGTTTTAACTTGTGGCGAATGGCCAAGACTAAAGATACCTTAGTACTAACTAACAAAGCTTTCAGACAATTCCAACAAAATGATGACAACCAGAAAACTAGGGATCTAGTAATACCAGGTTGTAGCTAAAACGAAGGCATCATTAAACCACGCACCCAATTTTGTAACAACCATCCTAGTTCCATTGCAAAGTCCTATACTTTGATCCAAATTTCGTAGTAGAATTACAGGACAATCAATCTTCAACATCAGATCATGTGGTGGAAAGTTACCAATTTTGAGGGAGTTTAAAAACTCAACAGAATAATCATTTTCCATGACATGATTAGCTCGAGGATCAATTTCAATGGAATCAGAGCTAAGATATGATGTCACTTCACCTGGAAAGTCTGCTAGGACACGGGTGTTGATCTCTGATACTGTATCATGGTGAGGGGTCAGCTGAGCTCGGCCAACCAAATACTTTTGGTTAGTATAATTCTCGGATAGATCAGCATAGACAACACTAATAACATATGATACAGGGTCAGCCACAGACTCAATTGATGTGTCTAGCGGCATATATATTGGTAGATTCTCCAAATATATTCGAATTCGTACCATCACCTATGTCAAGAAACCAACGCCCAAACTGTTCTACTTCTCTCCTTTGTGTAACATTATCTGAACCAGTTTGCGCTAATCGCATATTCTGGGTCAACTTTAGCACAGTAATATGAGACCACAAATACGATCTCTTAATGGAAGCATCGACAATCTGATTGCGCGTAGCTTTTAAAACAACAGACAATGTTTGTCTGAAATCCCCTCCAAATACCACAGTCATACCTCCAAAAAGCATGTTTTCACTTTCTTCATATTTCACCTGCATAATATCTCTCATTGACCCATCGAAGGCCTCAATGTTGTGCTTATGGGACATGCAAGCTTCATCCCATATAATAAGAGAAGTATGTTGCAGCAACTCCGCCAATTCACTACCTTGCTCAATATGAAATGTAGATGTGGAATGGCATTCTATAGGTATATGAAACCGTGAGTGAGCTGTTCTACCTCCAACCATTAATAAAGCGGCAATCCCAGATGATGCAACGCATAAGACAATTTTATTTGTTGATCTCAATTTCAAGCAAAGTACTTGCCACAAAAATGTCTTCCCTGTGCCACCAAATCCATCAAGAAAGAAACACTGTCATGCATCCTCTTCAACAGACTGTAAAATTGCATTGAATGCCGTCATCTGATCTGAATTCAACTTTTCATACCTTGCTTCAAATTCAGACTGCTGATCATCTACAGAATAGTTTAACTCAGCCACCATTCTATTGGAATATTGAGCTTCCCTAAACTGCTCGGGAATTGGCAAACCGGAAAAATCAGAAAGAGTCTTCCAATTCCGTTGTAATAACTTCTCTATCTCAATAAGGCATAACTCCTGCAACTGTGCAGGTGATAACGGGAGATGTGGTAAATTTAATAATCTTCGTTGACTGTATAAAAGATCATAAGCCAATAGCTCCCAATTATCCTTCCAAAGTTTCTCCACACTGGTGACTTGGTTGTGTATCAATAGTCACAAACAAATTTCTCAACTTATATCCAGACCCCCAGAAAGAGACCTCTTTCAAACGATCATTCCATTCAGTATCATCAGCCAAAAGACCAAGAGCATAACATGCATCTTGAAATGATTTATGCACGACATCATTCACCGTCCGTATCTCTTCAAAACTATGACATCCTTTCACAATATGGAGTAGCATGCGAAGATAATACTTCTCTTTAGAAGATGAGTAGGTATAGTACAATCTCCCAATACCGTGTTTATTATTTTGTTTTCGCCATTGCTTTAACTACTTATTCCAAGTGAATAACTGAGGAAATTCAACGAATGTGTATTGACGTGCAGCTGGACAAATACGGTTCTTCTCCATCCATCCCAAAAGCAAAGAGGTTTATGCCTGAACATGTTTTCACATGTTTGGTATGAAAAAGGAAGCGGCTCAACATGTTTTCACATATTTGGTATGTCAGAAAGTTAAGGCAGAACATCAAGCTCCCGTGGGGAAACTGCAACCACTTCCAATTCCAGAATGGAAGTGGGAGAGAATCACAATGGATTTTGTATATGGTCTCCCATCATCAAGGGGAAAAGATGCAGTATGGGTTATTGTGGACCGACTGACCAAATCGGCTCACTTTTTACCCATTAGATGGAAACCATCACTGGAGACCTTGTCTCAACTATATATTAAGGAGATCGTCCGATTGCATGGTGTTTATATTGTCTCTGATCGAGACCCAAGCTTCACATCTCGGTTTTGGCAAAGTTTACATGATGCCTTGGGAACTAAACTGCATTTTACTTCAGCTTATCATCCTCAAACAGATGGGCAGAGTGAACGAACCATCCTTACCTTAGAGGAGTTACTTCGATAATGTGTAATGCAATGGGAGGAATCATGGATTGACCATTTGCCCTTAATTGAGTTTGCTTACAACAACTAGTACCATAGTAGCTTGGGTGTTCCACCATATGAAGCACTTTATGGGAGGAAGTGTCGACCGACTGACCAAATCAGCTCACCTTTTACCCATTAGATGGAAACCATCACTGGAGACCTTGTCTCAACTATATATTAAGGAGATCTTCATATTGCATGGTGTTTCTATTGTCTCTAATCGAGACCCAAGCTTCACATCTCGGTTTTGGCAAAGTTTACATGATGCCTTGGGAACTAAACTGCATTTTACTTCAGCTTATCATCCTCAAACAGATGGGCAGAGTGAACGAACCATCCTTACCTTAGAGGAGTTACTTCGATAATGTGTAATGCAATGGGAGGAATCATGGATTGACCATTTGCCCTTAATTGAGTTTGCTTACAACAACCAGTACCATAGTAGCTTGGGTGTTCCACCATATGAAGCACTTTATGGGAGGAAGTGTATAACACCATTATGTTGGGATGTAGAAGGAGCAAGGCAAATCTTAGGGCCAGAGATAGTTCAGATCACAGTTGACAAGGTCAAGGAAATCAGGGAGCGTTTGAGGGTGGTTCAAGATCGACAAAAAGTTTATGTTGACACGAATAGGCGTGAAGTTAATTTTGAAGTGAACGAGAAAGTATTTCTCAAAGTGTCACCATGGAAAGGAGTGATGAGATTTGGTAAGAAAGGGAAACTTGCACCTTGGTAAATTGGACCGTATGAAATCACAGAGAAGATTGGACCAGTGGCATATAAACTAGCATTGCCTCCAGAACTATCTCAAATCCACAATGTATTTCATGTTAGTATGCTGAAGAGGTACAAAGTGGATCCTTCCCATGTTATACAACCAGAAAATATCGAGTTGGGTCCTGATTTGACATTTGAAGAGGTTCCAGTTGAGATTGTTGATTACCAGATTAAGAATCTTCGTAGGAAGGAAATCCCAATGTTGAAAGTGGTTTGGAGAAATCAAGATAGTGAGAGTGCTACCTGGGAAACTGAAGCAAGTATGCGAGAGAAGTACCCTGAGTTAGTAGCAACCTACTTTGCAGGTTAACAATCTTGCCTAATAAGTTATGTTTTGAACTTGTTGATGTGCTTTTGTTGTGATAACCCGATATAGGTTTTTGAAACCTTATATTGGGAACTTGAGGTGTTATGTGTTTAGTTATGTAATTAAGATCTCATAACCTAAGTTAGTAGCAACCTACTTTGCAGGTTAACAATCTTGCCTAATAAGTTATGTTTTGAACTTGTTGATGTGCTTTTGTTGTGATAACCCGATATAGGTTTTTGAAATCTTATATTGGGAACTTGAGGTGTTATGTGTTTAGTTATGTAATTCAGATCTCCTAACCTAAGAGTTAGGTAATAAACTTATGTATGATAGACCATGTTAAGGGTAAGTAAGAGGAGTTAGAGTACAATTCAAGGTTAGATTTCGGGGACGAAATCTTTGAAGGAGGGGAGAATTGTAACATCCCGTTCCGGCAATACCCATATTTCGATCGCTAGAAAATTTTGCAATTTAAATCGAGTTTTTGATAGTATTTTGGCAAAAATTGTATTATCGATCATTCAGATAAATATACGTATTAATATTATATATAATATATAATATATATTTATATAAACAAACAAAAGAAGCTAAGTGGCCGAACCACTTTAGTATTTATATATGTACAGCTAATGCCCCTGTCCATTTCCATCTTCTTCCTTTTCGTTAAAAAGAACCGAGAGAAAGTTTGAGCAAGGGCGCGCAGGGGAGGGAACTGAAAAATTCTCCGAGCTCAATTCTTGAGCTTAAGTGATCCAAAAATCCTGTAAGTAATGCCTAATTCATCTATACATCGTGATTTATCGATTTAGAGCTTTAAAATGAGTTTTTGGTTCAGGAATTTCTTGAATTCCCGATAAGCCAAATTAGGGGTTCGGAGTACCCGGAAGCCGGATTGAGCCCAAATTTCATATACGAGCTTTCTGCAGCGAGGTAATCAATCCTCTAGTTCTAATCCTTGAATTTCGGCAATTATTTAGGTCGGGGTCCAAATCGCTGAATTTAGCTCCGGCCAGGGTTTGATGTGTTTTTATAAAGGATTTGACCCGGAGCCTAGAACTAATATTGACGGGGATACTGCAGGGGATATTAGGACGGTCTCGAATTTTAATTCGGGGTTCGTTCGTGTAATTGACGTTTTAGTACGGGAAGGTTAAACCAGTGTTTGAACGACCAGAACTAGTTAGGGATTAGCACGACATACCGAGTTTGTCGTATCACGATAATTATATTGATGCTTAGAATTTACCTAGGTGAACTAGAATGGAATGATTAAGGGTGTATGAACTTTTGGGTTATATGATGAACCATGGACTACTGTATGATATTATTGACTTGCCCTAATCGAGATGGACCTTGTTTATGCTGATGATTTCGTATATGTTGCAAATTGTGGGCTTGACTGTTGATATGCCTTATGATGGTTCGAAAAGATGATTGGGTATGATTTTTCATGATTGTTGTATTTGGATGCACATGTGGGAAAATATATATTCCCTGGTGATATTATGACGTTTAAGGAGGATGACTTGGACGAGGGTTTATCCCGAGGAAGTGCAATTATACGACTCCTGATTTACCTATGTTGAGTCAATTGTGGCCAGGTCAAGTACATGTGCAAGTAGCGAATTATGATTTAAGCAAGATGAGATATGGATCATGGATAAAGATACCAAGTAAGAGTACTTTGGTCTCATGGTCAATTACATAGTAATTAGGGCTCCCCATGCTATTACTTCGTTATGATATGTTATGTCACACCCCTGATGTGGTGTTGACCGTTGATTCATCATGAGATATGAACACACCCAGAGTGGTGTTAAGTCCGATATGACTACACCGACAGTGGTGGGTCTGATATGACCACATCCACGAGATGTCCGTATTCCAGGGAGAATAATTAGCATGGGAGTAGCCAGACGCCTATGATTAAAACATGATAAGATGCATATGCATAAGTCAAGGTGGTTGAGTCTT